CCCCGGCGCCCGCCCCGGTGCCTGCGGCCCCGCAGCAGCTGCCTATGCCCCCGGCGCCGCCGCAGGTGCTGGCGCCGCCGCCGGTGATTTCGCAGGGGCCGCCGGCCCCGGTGGGGTACGCGCCGCAGGGCGTGCCTGCGCCGTACCCTGGCGCTCCGCCACCCGCACCACAGCAGCAGCAGCAGCAGCCGCAGCAGCCGAGCACGCCCTACTCAACTGCTCCGCCGCAGCCGCAGCAGCAGCAGCAGCCGCAGCCAGGCCCCTACGGCAGCGCCCCAGCCTACGGCCCGCCGCAGCCCGGCCCCGACCCATACCACCCCCAGGGGCCGCCCGGCGCGCCGCCGCCGCCGGGGCCACCGGGCGGCTACGCGCCGCCGCCCTACCCGCACGCGCCCCCGCCGCCGCAGCCGGTGCCTGGGCCGCCCCCCAGCGCCTACCAGCCGCAGATGCACGCGGGCCCGGCCTACCCGCAGGCGCCGCAGCCCGCGTACCCCGCGCCCTTCAGGCAGGGGCCGCCCGGCCCACCGGGGCCCGGCGCGCCGCCGATGCCGCCGCAGCAGGTGAGCGCACCGTGTGTTGGCGCTGATCGGTGAGACCCGCCCTGTGGGAGCTGCATCTGCGTTGGCTCATGCTCCTCGGGGCCTTGCGCCACTGGCCGGCGGCAGAAGGCCCCTGCAACTGCATCATCGCTCGTGGAACCTTGCCAGCCGACTCCTTACACTCAGCACTCGCTGCCCCGCGTGCTTTTAACGCCCCTCATGCACACGAAACGCAGCAGCGCCCGGGTGGTGGCGGCGGCGGTGGCCCTGCGCCCCGGTCTTCGACGCAGAGCATCCCCCTGGAGCAGATCATTCAGGACGTCAGCGCCATGGGCTTCACGCGAGGGCAGGTGCGTCGAGCCCTCGCCACAGCGGGGCCGGCCAGCCCAGGTCGGCGGCGGAGACCAGAAGCAGGTCGATAGGCTCGCAGCATCCCCAAGCCCTCCCCTGGTCTCGACTTGCCCTCGCTTCCACGCACCTGTGTGGACTGCCCCGCTCCTTGGGCTGCTTGGTTCACCGATACCCCTGCCGTACCCCCGCCGTGCGCCTGCCTTGCCCATGCCAGGTGATGAGTGTGGTGTCCCAGCTGCAGAACAGCGGCCAGGCCCTGGACCTTAACGTCATCCTGGACAGGCTCACCAGCGGGAGGTTCTGATGACATAGGGATGACGTCACGCCCGCGGCGCGCGCGTGTGCTGCAGCAGCACACGACCCCCATGCTGGGCGACCCCCATGCGGCAGGCGTTGGACGCGCTTGATGATGGCTGCGGCCGCCGTTGCAGCCCTGGCGGTGCGTACTTGCCGCCTGCAGGGGCCACGGCTGGCGGGCCCTGGCTGACGCAGCCTCCGGGCACGAGGCGCCGTGGCATGCGCATAAGCGTGGGCAACGGGTTGTGTGCTGTGCAGCTGCCTTGAGCCGTTGGCTGCGACAAAGTGCTGCGGAGTCGCCGCTTGATGCTGCCTGGTTTCTGTTCTTCTGTCGTCAGAGCTTGTTCAAACGCGTGACAGTGCGATTTGCGGTACATGACACATGCACAACGCATGCCGCCGCCCACCGCGCTGGTGATCATGTTGCCGATTGCTGCCAGCAGCACCGCTGAGCAGCACCCCCCCCCTGTACCTCATTCTCGAGCTTTCTGCGCACCCATCGCTTTTGTTTCATGCATGATGCACAGTTGTGCATCCGGTGCAATCGACAGCACACCTTGTAACTGATTGCCCAGGCGTATCTCTCATTACTCACGCACCACTTTTGCTACACAGGTGGACGTTTGAGTGACAGCACCGCAACCAGAGGAATGGGGGTTCAGGGGGGTGCGCCGGGGAGGGAGGGGAGCGTGCGCTGCGCCCTCACGCCCACAAAGGCGTCGGCGCGTTCAAAGTCAGATGAACGAGGTCGAATAAATACCATGAACAGGAACACCAGCGCTGAACAGCATGTGACCATGAATCAACAGACGTTGCTCAGCCACCTGCAGCACATCCCAGTGCTGATCGGCAGCCCACAAGCTGACCGATTAACAAGTGCATCGAGTGGCATGGGCCGCATACCCAGCAGGCGCTTGCCAGGGCGGGCGAACGAAGGAAGTTGCCAGGATTTGCAGCAGCTAGCGCGAGTGCAGCAGGATGTTGCGCAGCGCGTGCGCGTCGTGGGCCGGGAGGTCTGAGGACAGCGGGTCGACGCTGTAAAACGACGCCGCCAGCTGCTGGCTGCTGCTGACGCTGGTGCTGGCGCCGCCACCCCCCTCTCGCACCCTGCCGTTGCGGCCCGCCGAGTGGCCGCCCGCCTTGATGGGTTCCCGGGAGCCGCCGCCGGCCGCGGCAAACCTGCCCTGAGGTGCTGCCACCGGGGGCGTGGCAGCTGCGGCCGCGAAGCCCTCGCCGCGTAGCGCAGACTGCAGGCACTGGACACCCACCGCCAGGCCCTTGGCGCAGCTGCACGCCGCGGCCGGCGCCGTTTGGGCGCCGTGCGCGAGGTCCAAGAGGCCCTTCAGCATGGCGACGTCGCCTGTGCCGATAAGATAGTTAGTCAGGCTGTGTGGGGTGAGGACGAGTGCCCAGCGCAGGTGCGCAGGAGTAGGCATGCGCCACAGCGCGAAAACGCGCCACGCCGTAGCACGGCTGGCGCAGCATTTGCTGCACCATGGCATGAAAGCGTGCGGTCGATCCGCTAAGTCACAAGCTGAACGACAAGTCTCGGCTGCCGCATGCCATGCGAGGCCCTGTTGGCTCGCTCCCCACGCAGATCGCCTCAACAGCACGTACCTATGGCCGCCAAGAGCCTGTACACAAACCAATGCCTCGTGATTGCGTGTGTGTGAGCTTGGCCGAATGGTATTCATTGTGGGTGACTACCTCAGTGACTAATGCGCCACCTGGGTGCCACAAATCTCTCCGCTGCGTGCGCCACAGCGGCTGAAGAGTTGCGAGCTTGCGACGGGAGTTTCATTGACACACATAATTTCCAAACCTTTTTTGGTGTTTCCCTCTTGCTTACATTATGCCTGCTTTACGGGCAGTTGTCCAGTTGGCCTTGGACAGCAGCTCCATTGACATTTAGGCCTCGATTCAACCAGGCAAAGCAGCAGCAGCAGCAGCAGCAGCAGCAGCAGCAGCAGCAGCAGCAGCAGCAGCAGTAGCTTCATGCGCCCCATGCGACCGCAGCTCGTTGCGCTTGCAAGCGCTCTGGTCCTGTGCTGTACTGGCAATGCCTCAAGGCCACGTGGGCCTTTGGTCCGACCGTCGGCGGTAGTGCCCTCAGCAACGCCCCTCAACCCTGTAGCGAACAGCTCAGCGCCGCCGTTTTCCTGGGCCGGGCAGCTAGCATCTGGCTGCACTGCATTCCTGGTGGGGCCTTGTCATGCTGTGACGGTGGCGCACTGCATCTATGATCCCCACCGCGACATCTGGTGGCCGGGCGTAGAGCTGTTCCCTGGCAGGTAAGCGCGATCTCCTGGCTGCTCTGAAACCAAGGCGTCAGGCAGTGTCTCTGGTACAGAACAGTTTTGCAAGCAACCGCGCCTGTGTAAAGGCATGCCTTCGGTGGCGAGCTTACCACTGACGGTCATGGGTCGCGGTGTTGCAGGAACGTGCAGCCCAACGGCAGCGGCTGGAGCCCCCTTGGCAGCGCTCGCAAGCGCGACGTCCATTTGTCCCCTGGCTGGCGCCAGCAGCCGGCCGGACGGCCCCAGCATGATGTGGCACTCATCACCCTTCAAGAGCCTGTCGGCAAAAAGCTCGGCTGGTTTGGCCTCCCCAACGCGACCTGGGCTGCGGCTCAGCTGCTGCGCCAATCGGCACCCGCCAGTGCTGTCGCCACCAGCCCAGCCCACCGACTGGGAAACTCCAGCAGTGTGTTGAAACCAGAGGATTTGGGAGAGGCTCTGGGGGGCGACGCGGCGACTCTGACAGTGGTGGGATATCCTGACAACAAGATCAATGGCAGCATGTGGGCGCAGTCCTGCCGGCCTGTGCGGTGGGGCTTCGACAACGGCCTTCTGTGGCACGCGTGCGCAACCCGCGGCGGCAACTCGGGGTCTCCCATATTTATTCGGGAGGCGGCGCGCGGACCCAGCGGCGGTGGCAGTGGCACCGCTGCTGTGGTCGTTGCGATGCATGTCGCGTCGCTGCGGGCGGCGCGCGGCAGCATGTTTGGGCGGGGCCTCGAGGCGGAGCTCAGGGCCGGCGGGCTGCCAGTTGAGCTAGCTGATGACACAGCGGAGAGCCAGCACGAGGTCAGCAGTGGGGACAGTGAGGGCGGCGCGTTGCTGGTGGTGCCGGTGGGCGTGCCATTTGCTGGCGAGACGCTGTCGTGGCTAGAGCGGGCCATACAAGATCACACGTGCTGACGTACGCATTGGCCCCAGGCTCTTGGCTATGTAAACGCTCTGCATTTGTGGACATCAAATTACCTATTACCGTATATACAGGCATGTTTCCGTGTGCAGCTAAGCAGGAGATTGGGGCGACCAGTGCACCCCACGCAACCACATAAGCAACTCGTCACAAACAAGAGCCGGGCATCAACTGCGTCACCACAGGTCCCCACAGTCAAGGCACAGCAGTAGCCTTGACCAAGCCTGGGCGCATATCCACTCTATGCCCCGAGCATGTTCATGTAGCCATAGTCTGGTGGTGTGGGACCGGCAGGGTGTGTGGCCAGCAGGGTGGGCAGGCATTGACGTCAGCAAAAGTGGAGAGGATGGGCAATCCTTCAGCTGAGGCAGGCGCACTCTGCCTTTCCTCGGACCTCAGCTTTGGCCAGCCCTGCAAGGATGCGTTTCTGCACCTCAAGCACAGAGTGTCCCGCTGCAATGCAGGAACCAGCCAGGCAAGGCGGGCACTCACAGCTCGTGGCGGTGCGCCCCTCGCGCTTCGTCACGTCGGTGCTGGACAGCTTGACGACGTCGGTGGGCATCCTGAACCGCGGCTTGAGGGCGTGCCACCCCACCTCCTGCTGCGCCGTCAGCGGCGCCTGGAAGGAGCGCTGCGGGTCCCACGCGACGCGCCGCTCGCGGAGCTTGTCCGCGCGCCACCTGTCAAAGCTTGAGTACTCGCGCGCCTGCCGAGATATTTGGGGCATTTCAAGACGATTGCTGCGTGTCACGCTTCATACTTGTCGCCTCCTCAGAGGGCTTCAACATGCTCAGCTGGTAGACTGTGAAATGTGCTTGGGCAACCCCATCCTTTGCAACCCACATGCACAATGGCAGACACAGATGGGAGCCCGCACCTGCTGTGGATTGGCGCTGCACTCCCTGAGCCGGCCAATGGCAAGGTCCCACTCGCGGCGCGACAGCACGCAGCTGCTGTCAAAATCCAGGAATGTGAACCACAGCTGCTCGCACGATATGGTGGGCGCGGGCGCACGATAATGGGCGCAGCCGCATATGAATGACGGGCCTTGCGGTACCTCATGATAAGAAATGGAATGCTGTGCAGGCCAGCCGCAAGTCCCCGGTCCGCCAACAGGTGCAGACGCAGGGTCTCGAATCGACACAATCGCAGTCTCACATGTGCTGGCAGGTATGCAGTGCCTGTGCTGCCCCGTCATGTCTCATGCCTTGTGTCTTGTGTGTGAGTTCTGGCCGCGCGCACCTGCAGCTCGACCTTGCGCGCCTGGCGGCCCAGCAGCTCATTGAGCATGTCCCCCAGCTCGCAACGCAACACTGACGTGGCACCATCAACGCCCAGCGTAGCGGCTACATGACTGCCCGCGCCGAGCACATGACGGTCAAACACCTGGAGGTGGCAAAGAGGCAAGGGGGCTCATCGAACAGGAGACATGCAAGTGAGGTTGCAGGTCGTTTGGTTGCCCAGCGCACACATTCGGGAAAGAAAATAGGGTGCCGTGCGAATTGGCACCGACGCTGAGCCGCTGACCTGTTCAAACTCAACAGGTTCAATCACGTGAAAGGGATAAGCCTGGTTCAAGGTCGCGGCGTCAAAGAAAGGGTCTGTGCGGGTGCGTCAAAGGGAGCGCGCGTCAGAGAGTGCGCGGGGACGCGTGTGCATTTGTGCAAGCACCATACGCTGATGGCAATGTTCATCGTCCACCCCTGTACTTCCTCCATGTACCTGTCGCTCCAAGGGTTGTTTGTCCAAAGAAAGCGCCCGCATTCGCCAGTGGGTCGGTGGTCATGCGCAGGGACCCAGAGGCGGCGCCAGCAGTGTTACTGCCACTGCAGCTGCTGCTGGTCCCTTCCATGCTGACGCACTGCCAAACAGCCGGAGTCTAGCGTACAAAGAAAGTTTTATGAGGCTGCGATGCCCTACCCCAACTGTGCAGTGAAACTGTGAAGCCTCTGAGGTGTCGTCGCGAACAGTTTCGCGATTGACTGCGTGGTTGGGCCACTCTTCTGAATATGAGACTGCGAACAATATGTATATGATAATCATCAAAAAGTGATGGCCGTGTAGGTAGATGTATCGCTTCTCGCACTTCAGGAAGGAAGTGAGCTTGATGAGCACCGCAGCACTGCACTTTCATTCGAGCTGTTGCAGCGTCGCTTTCAGCGTCTCACTTCCATTCATTGCTTTGGTTACCAACGTGTCCTGTCGGCGCTTTGCAGATCGAAGCTTACGTCTCCGTACAGCGCAGCGATGCAGGCACCGAGCAATTGCATAGCACGCAGAGCATCTGGCCACGGGCGCTGCAGCTCAGCTGCTGTTCGCTCGCAGCGACGCCCGCGCATCGCCGCGCGGGTTGCGCACATGGCGTCCCCCGCCGCTGCGGCCACCGCGCCGCCACCCGCGCACGCCGACGGCTGGACGCCGACCGTTGCCGGTCACAGCCTCCCGGCAGTCACTGGGCCCCGCTCGGCGACCGTGCAGCGGCAAACAAAAGAAACCAAGGTCGAGGTTCGCATAGACATCGACGGCAGCGGCAAGTGCGTCACGCAGACGCCGGTCGGTTTCCTGAACCACATGCTCGATCAGATCGCCTCCCACGGCCTGTTTGACGTGTACGTGGCTGCGGAGGGGGACACGTGGATTGACGACCACCACACAGTGGAGGACATTGCGCTGGCGCTGGGTGGCGCGCTGGCGCAGGCCCTGGGGGATCGCAAGGTAAAGCAAGGACGGGTGTGCAGCGAGCTGTAGTGACGGCGATGTGTGTGTGCGCGCGCATGTGTGTGTGTGTGTGTGTGTGTACAAGCGCACGCACGCATGTTGCGTGCGTGCGTGCGTGTGTGTGTGCCTGTATGCGAGACCGCGTGTGAGCGTGTGTGAGTGTGTTTTGGGAGGGGCGTGTGCTTGGCAAGGTCGTCGTGTGCTGTAGTCAGGCACCATGGGTGGAGCTGTGCGTGGCAGCTGCCAACAGCACACAGGGTGCGGTTGTGCTGCAGCTGCTGCTGCAGGCTCGCTTGCGGTCGGGTCTTGGCAGGGAGGAGAGGGGCCCCCGACACTTTGTTGGAGCTGCAGCAGGCTGCGGCCAGAGCGACAGCAGCAGCGTGCAGCATGCAGCAAAGCTGCGCGTGCCGCATGACCCCAACACCACCAGGCCGGCATGCGTGTAAGGCGCGGCGCTTTGCGCGCGTCTCCCCGCCCCTTCTCCGCCCCGCCCCGGCGCGCCGCCCCCTGCACCTCACGCGTTGGCTCCTACCCTGGCCGCCCTAAGTCCCCTTCCTTCTTTCCTTGAACCTACCCGCAGGGCATTCACCGCTTCGGCGAGTTCACTGCGCCCCTGGACGAGGCCCTGACGCACGTCGTGCTGGACCTCTCGGGCCGCGCCCACCTCAGCTGCAACCTCGAGATTCCCGCGCAGCGCATCGGGAACTTTGACACCGAGCTTGTGGAGCATTTTTTCATGTCCTTCGCCAACACCTCGGGCACCACGCTGCACATAAGGCAGCTGGCGGGCAAGAACTCGCACCACATCGTGGAGGCGACGTTCAAGGCGTTTGCTCGCGCGCTGCGGCGGGCGTGCGAGGTGGACGAGCGGCGGGCCGGGAAAATTGCAAGCAGCAAGGGCGTGCTGACTCAGCAGTAGTGGGTCAAAAACCTAGATGGCGCTTTCATGTGTGGTTGCCCGTCTCGTTGGCTTTGAGTTTCGCAGCCAGGTTTTGCTGCTTGTGAGAATCAATGTAGATGCAGCGCGCACGCCCCTCCGCTGCCAGCCCCCCATTTCATGCGCCGAGCGAGGTCCCTCGGCTGCGCCATCAGCTGCACCTTGCGCTTGGTGGCCGTCGATCGGCCTTGGTCCTGACTCCGCGGCTATGTTCTGTAAATCATCGTCTTGTCTTCGGGCTGCTGCTCTGGGATGCTGGCTGGCACTGGACCCTTGCACACCAGCGCGTAGCTTGATTGGACATGCGCATGGGAAAAATAAGTCCCACAGTGACGGCCCTTCATTCTTCGAGTGTGCTCCGCTGCTCATATGCTCCCGATGGCAAGGTTTCATGCCATGAAATTTTTGCCAGCATAGGCGAATTGCCGCCAACTGCCGGCTGGAACGCGGGCTTCACCCCCTACTGCAGCACTGCAATGCCAGCAGCACTGCAATGGTGGTCAACGGTCAACATGCGCGCTGCATCCAGGCCAGCAAGCAAGACAGTGGTTTGCACGCAGAGGTGACCACTGGTATGGCCCATGGTCATCAAATTCACTACATGATGTCAACGTCTCGCCAAGCGCTCCGCTGCTGCAGCGAGCGGACCCTGCCTGGAGCCACCAGCTTGCAACCCCACCCTCCCTTGGGGCCCCTGTATCACCACCTTAGCTCACCTGCAACCGCACCACTATCTTGAACCAACAAACCGCGCAGCTTGGCCGTTGCTGGGTGACCTCACCTCGCCACACTCACGGATCCTGCCGCTGATGCCCTTGCAGGATCGACGCGCTTTGGCATCACCGAACAGAGAGGCTCAAATTATTTGGCTCACAAGATAAGCGCACATTCTACAGATCACGCCGGGTGTCGTCAAGTGGAGCAGACCACACGTCAGATCTGTGCTCACCGTAACATAACCCTTTGGCAAGCGCTCTTGCAAACGCCGGCATGGGTGCTCCGGCGGGCGACAGTGCCATGGCGCCCGTGGCACCGCCAGTGCAGGGTGATGGCGGCGGGCCGGCCCAGGCGGAAGGGCGTGTGCCTCTCGCAGTGCGTGCCGCTTCTGGGGAGCCAACAGCCAGGCTGATCACACGTCAGCTGTCGTCTATTCCTTCCCTGAAGCGCAACAGCCTGGGACTGGCAGTGCTGGACTCTGGGGCGGACGCATCCAGCCTGAAGCACATCTCCTCCAAGGATGACCTAGACCAGGCCTTCCGCAAGCGCGAGGTGGCTGTGGCCGCGCTCAAGGCGAAGATGAGCAAGGTGTGTGCCGCAAGCACACCTGCAGGCTCAGACGCTCTTGCAGGATGGCAGCCGTCGCAGCAGCCGTGACGGCAGCTGCTGCATGTGGGGCAGGGTTGTACGGTTGTCCTTTTGTTTGAGAAGGCATGGCCGCCGCGTTTAGTCCAGCTGCAGTCCACCACCCTCGGGCAAGTGATGCCCCTTTTGCGGCGTGACCACCCCAGGATTGGTCGCCAGAGTACCGGCCGCACAGCATTGTGCCACCCACCATTGCCAAGGGCGACCGCCTGCGCAAGACGTTCATGGTGTCCGCGCCCATGATTTTTAAGGTTGGACCAGATGGCATTTTTCGCATTGGTGTTCGCTTATCTTTGATATGGACATGCGTAGCCTTACATGCAAGCTGTGCATACCGCCATGCGTGCGAGCATGCACTTGCCATGCGGGTACGACGCGTGCAGCTCATGCATGAGGGCAAGCGAGTCATGCATGTACTGCTTGACATGCATGCTGGCAGGACGTGCCTGTGGCGCGCAAGACCAAGATTGTGTGCACCATGGGGCCCGGCTGCTGGTCGGAGGAGAACTTGGGGGCGCTCATGGACGCGGGCATGAACGTGGCGCGCTTCAACTTCAGCCACGGGGAGCACGCCGGCCACAAGGAGGTGGGTGCACTGGCGGTTGGGTTGGGCGCTGGCAGGCAGCAGACTTCTGTGGTTTGGCAGCTACAGTAATGGCCAGCAAGCATGACTACTTTGCAGAGTGTGCCTGAGTACAGGCCGGCAGCTGGCCTGTTGCCACCAAACATGCAGGCGTGACAGCATGCAGCGGCCGTTGGGGATTCGCATGCAGCATGGTGCTGCTGGCATGCAGCGTGGTGCTGCTGATGTGCATCACGGTGCTACTGGCATGCAGCGGGGCGCTGTTAGCATGCAACAGGGCGCTGTTAGCATGCAGCTTCGCTCCAGGCCCTCCCAAACCTGTGGGCCCTCTTGCTGGTCGCCAGGTGCTGGACCGGGTGCGCAGGGTGGCCGAGGCCAAGGGCAGGCACCTGGGCTACGCGCTTGACACCAAGGGCCCGGAAATCCGGACTGCCATGCTGAGGGGCGGCAAGGACATCATGCTCGAGGAGGGTGAGTTGGGGGCGGACGTGACAACTGTGGGAGAGAGAGTCTCATGCTCATGCGACTGCTGGGGTGGCACAGCAGACATAAGCCTGACCGCCCCCCCTGAACGCGCCACGGGCTGCCTTGGGGGCGCACGCGCGTGACGACCCTTGTCAGTCGCGAAATCATCCGCCCCTCCTGCTTTTGTGGCGTCGAGCGAGCAGCTCAGTAGCGCCGCAATCCTCAACCTCCGCGTGCGCAGGCCAGGACATCAAGGTGGTGGCTGTGGGCGCGGACTACACCAAGTTCGAGGGCTTCAAAGACGAGGCCACAGGCGAGACCGTCATCGGCCTCAGCTACGCCTCACTCTGCCAGCACGTCAAGCCAGGCAACTTTATCCTGCTGTCAGACGGCACCATCACCATCCAGGTACGCACCAACCAGCCTGCAGAACATGAAGGGGCCGACCCTGCACTGCAGCCCCCGTCTGGCTGCTGGGGGCCGATGTCAGCATTCTGCAACAGGTCGCCCTTGCCAACATCCCCCGCAAAGCACCCCATCCAATGGACTTTAATCACTCTCTCTTTGACTTTACCTTGTATAAAACTCTCGCACGCAATAACCCCAGGTGACGGAGATCCTGGGAGACAACGAGCTCAAGGGCAAGGTGCTGACTAGCCACAAGCTGGGGCAGCGCAAGAACTGCAACCTGCCTGGCGTGATGGTGGACCTGCCCGTGCTGGGGGAGAAGGATGTGGACGACGTGCAGGCCTTCGCCTGCAAGTGAGGGTTCTTGTTGCAGGGTTAGGGTCGGAGGGAGGTACACGTGTTTCCGCTGCTGTTGCATGCTTGCTTGCACACATCTGAAAAACGCTCCTGTGCCTGCGTTGTGCTGCATGATGAGAGCAAGGCCCCTTGTGATGTAAGCGGCCTTCATCTGGGCCTGCCATTAAATCGCATCAAACACTCAAACATCCCACAGGCACGACATGGACTTCATATTTGCATCCTTTGTGCAGAAGGCCGAGGATGTGAGGTTCATCCGAAAGGTGCGTTGGTTCAGCATCGCGCTCTTGTGCAGGCTGCTGCACTCTGTTGGTGCTGAGAGAGCTTGTAGTGGACGTGCCTTCTGCCTGGTCACACGCCTTGTTGTTGGCCGTCTTGCCTTTCCCGTCGGTCAACCTTCAGTTGTGTCGGCGCGTACGTGTCCATTGCAGCCGTTGCAGCCGGTTCAGCCATCCTGATGTAACGGCGCCTGATGCCTCACCATGATGTCTGCGCTTGGACGCACCACGGCTCAGGTCCTGACAGCCGCGGGCGGCGCCCACATCAAGATTATATCCAAGATCGAGAGCCAGACGGGTGTCCTCAACTTTGACAGCATCCTGGCCGAGACTGATGGTGGGCGGCGCCTGCCTGAGTGCCTGGCGGTTGGCTGGGTGCTTTCGGCCAGATATGACTACCCATATGTTGGGGTGTCTGGCAATGCGCAGGCCTTCGTGTGATGTCTGAGGCCTGGTTCGAGTGCTGCCACTGTGTCCTGGGCCCAGGCCCTCAGCAGAGAGAGCCAGGCGAAGCTCTACAGCCTACCCCTGAACCGCGATGCTTCGTGGCAACCTCGCCCCTTTCCTGAAAGGCATTATGGTGGCGCGCGGCGACCTGGCCATGGAGATCCCTCCCGAGAAGGTGGCGCTGGCCCAGAAGATGATGATCAACAAGTGCCAGGTGGGGGGCCAACTCGCCCGCCTGGAGGACCAATTGGGAGTGGCCCGGGGCCGCCGGCAAACCAAGGGCGCATGTCATGCTTGCCGTGTGGGTGAGGTGCGCTGAGGCCTTGTGGCAATGCCCAGGGCCCAAACTTGACATTGACTACTGTTTCAGGCCCTCTCCGAAACTTGCTCACCCCTTGCTTTCCCTCCTCGACCTGCACGCCACCTGCTTCTTCACAACCCCAAGCTGGCGGGCAAGGTCATCATCTGCGCCACCCAGGTCGGCCGGGGCTGCGCATGACTGCAACCAATTGAAAACCACCGCCGCCCGACGCACAGCTTTGACCTGCCGGCCACTTACACACCGGGCACTACCTGCGATTGCCTGGCCGTTGTACTCACTGCCGCCCCCGCAGATGATGGAGTCCATGATTGAAAACCCATACCCCGCGCGCGCCGAGATGACTGATGTGGCCAATGCAGTGTTTGATGGCACGGACGCCGTCATGCTGTCGGGTGGGATTCGGGAGTTGGTGGGGCCTGGAGGCAGTTTTTGCACCCATCTGAGACTGTCAGGGCCTTCAGTCACAGGACAGAACCCTGTGGATGATGCAACCCTTGAGCCCAACTTCCTCTGTGCCTGCTGCTGCCGCTGCCCTCAACCTTTGCACCCCTCAACCACCTTCTGTAGCATCTGTCCCCGCCCCCGCCTGACCTGCACCCCCTCACTGACGCGCGTGGCCCCCCTCAAAGGCGAGACCGCCAACGGCAAGCACCCCGCCCTTGTGGTCCGCACCATGAGCGACATCGTGGCCACCAGCGAGCTGGGTGTGAGCTACTACGAGCAGTTCCACAGCATCAGGTGCGCAGGGCTGCGGGACAGGTCGGGATCAGATGATTTCACTGCTGAGCCTTGCAAGGTCCCACTACTTTGTTTGCGGTGTTGAGCACGAGTGCGTTGGTTTCCGCGAAGCAGCCGTCGTGCGGTTGCTTGGCAGCAACTGTGCAGTGTTGGCTTCACCTAGCACCTGGGTTGCACCCTTCGCTCATCGATGTCAGCCCTGCTGTTGGTTGGTGTGCACGTGCGCAGGTACAACAACGCGGCGCGCGAGTTTGTGAGCCCCCAGGAGGCCCTCCTCAGCGGCGTGTCTAAGGCCGCAATATCCTTCTGCACCGACGCCAACGGGGACGGCATCATCGAGCTCTCCGAGGGCTGCCTGGCGGTGGGTGCGGCCTGTCTGGGAGGGGCCCTGGGATGGTATTCGTGCTGGGTGAAGAGCTCGGAAACCAAATGGAGGTGCAGTCCAATGGTCCTGGAATGTGCGACATTTTGTGTTTTCAGCTGCCTCTGCAGCCCTTGATACCCTCAAGGTTGTGCGAGGGGGTGGCTTTGCCCCTTGCAGTGTGTCAGACCTCTCGGCTGCCATCCCAGAACTCTTGTATGTGCGCTTTCCGCGCCGACCACCGCAAGGCGATCCAGATACCCTCCCCACACAAATCCCCCTCATTGCCTATTACCCGCACTGTCCACAGGTGGTGCTGACAGAGGACGGCAGAGCGGCGCAGCTGGTGGCCAAGTACAGGCCCCCTTGCCCCGTCATTGCCGTCAGCACCAACGGGCGCGCTCTGCGCAGCTTGGCTTCGACGTTTGGCGTCATACCTCTGAAGGTAAGACCCAGCAAGGCTCGTTGCTGTGCTTCCCTCCTGTCAGACGCCTCCTGCCAGCTTTCAGCCTTGTGCATGCATGCAGGTTGTTTCAATATTGACCGCCGCTACCTCCGACAACGGCGGCAGCTTACTGCCCGTGCCGACTCACCCATTCAGCGTGTCTTTCGCTTTCATCTGTCCCTCCTCTCCCCAAAACGCCCACACTGACCGTCTGCTACCCCCCCTTCCCTGTTTGTCAAGATTGACTCATTCGATGTCGGCCCGGCGCGTGCGGTGCGGCTCGGCATCGAGCACGCCCTCTCGCGGGGCCTGGCGGTGGACGGCATCAAGGTGCTGGCGGTGACGGGCGGCGCAACCGTCGCGCCGGCGGACGAGGCGCCGGTGGTGACGGTCGAGTATCTAGGTGAGCTCAGGGCATCCCAGCTCTTGCCCGTTGCTGTGGGCCTGGCCATGGGTCCATGACCGTGGCTTGTGCAGGAGAGGGGGACGCGGGTGCTGCTGAAACTTCTTGCATGCGAGGGCCCATGCAGAGCGGGAGTGGTGCCCAAGGCCCCTCCCAACAATCCCCTCTTGGGGCCTTGAGGGTTGGGGGCTCAGGCGGGAGGATAACTGTTTCTCTAAAAGAGCGGGCGCATTGAGTGCTTGTATTCCAGGGGCGCAACACCCTGCCCGGTCAGCCTCCCTGCTTGAGCACCTCACAGCAGTCCTGCACCCCATCTTCCCTCCCCGCTCTGAAGGCATGCGCGCCATGAGCTTCTTGCACCGCCGGGCAGACCAGCACACGCCCTACTCTTCGCCGTTCTGCCGCCACACCACGTACTGCAACCAAGATGTGCACATTGGCGTGGAGGTAGGCGGGCAGGGGGGATCTGTGTGCATGATTGGTGCCTTTTGGGACAACGCTGCAAATGTTGGGGAACAGACTGACTGGGGCGGGGTGGGTTGTATGTTGGAAGGAGGCTGATTTTTTCTGCAATTGCAGGAGAGTTTGCAACAAGGAGGGTCTCGGGCGTGGTGTCCGCAACCCAGCGCCCCCGCCATTCCCACATGCATCTAAGCCAAATGTCGTCGGGTGTCATCAAGACTGACTGCCCGGCTCCTCATACCTGCCCCACGCGCTTGCATCCGGCCCCGTGAAGAGCATCGTGTCCCCCAGCCGGCCACACCACCGCGCCACCAAGATCGTGGCAACCATCGGCCCCGCCACGGCCGATGCGGCCGCTATGGCCAAGCTTGTGGACGCCGGCGTCGACGTGGCCAGGTTCAACGTCAAGCATAACACACACGTGCGTGGCAGGGCGGGACGCCCCCCAACCTATGTTTCCCTTAGTATCCTGGCTGGCAGCTTGACGCCGCGCTGATGGCTCCAAGACCAGCGGCAGTTGGGACGTTACTTTCTACCCTGTTGGGTGCGCGCCCCGTGCGGGCTCCCCCCTGATGGTTGGGTACACTGGCAACTTTCAGCATTCCCCTGCCCACATGTGTGCTGCACTCACGCCCAGCACCGTGCATCTGTGCAGGATGAGAACCTGTGGCTGCTGAGCACATGGCGGACGGTGGTGCAGGAGAAGGCGAAGGCCGCCCGCGCGGAGCTGGGCCTCACACACCTGCTGGTGGGTCGGTGTCTGAGAGCGCGCTACCTTTCGAACATTGTTTTGTCTTGTGCCTGATTCATCTGCCCTGACACTGATGCTTCAGAGCCACTTGCCTGCTTTGCCTGCCTTTTACCCGAACGTTGGTTACTACAAGTAACTCTTTTGCCTTTTTTCGATCCTTCAACCGCCCCCTAGTACCCGCCCCACCCCCAACTTGCTCAGCCTTACTGCCCCCATCTATCCTCCCCCCAATCGCTCCTTGCCACCCCCTTTGCCCCCCTCTGCCCCCTGCAGTCCGATGAGACCATGATGCGTGGCATGTGGGTCAGCATCCGCGGCCACGAGATCCGCAGCGCCAAGCTGGAGGGGGACCAGCCGGTGGACCTGGAGGCGGGGGAGGAGGTGGTGGTGCAGGGACTCACAGAGGTGGGGGCAGCGGGATGGGATGGTGTGTGTGCATATGTGCATGTGTGCATGTGTGTGCATGTGTGCCCGTGTGCATGTGTGCCCGTCTGCATGTGTGCCCGTGTGTGCATGTGCATGCATGCGCGTGCGTGCGTGCTTGCGCGCGTGTGCATGTGCGCGCATGTGCGGTCGGGGGGGGGGGGCGCCAGCCGGTTCTGGGGAGAGTTAACGCTGCTTGGCGGATGCTGCAGGCAATAGCAACTGTGTCATGGTTGTGCTCGGTTCTGCATGGTTTGCGCAAGACGCCAGTACGCCGAGCCGTTGTGATGGCCGGATCCGGCCGCGCGTTCACCACCTTGGTCCAACATCCGCCCGGCCGTTGCTCCCTTGCTGCCCCTCTGCTGTCCAGGTGGAGTACTTTGGCGAGTGGCGCGGCGGGCGCCCGGCCGGCGGCGGCCCTGTCACGATGGGCATCAGCTACCAAAACGTCGGGGAGGCCGTCAGCATGGTGCGGCACGACACCAACATCCCGACTCCTCCCCTTGCCATCTACCGTGCCTGGCCCATTGCATTTGTCTCGGAACAGTGGCCACGTTGCAGCGCGCTGTGCGCTGACCAGACATGTGGTGGCCTGGTGTTGTCAGTGTCATGACTTTGAACCTGGAATGACTAAACGCGCCCTGCCGTCATTATATCCGTCATTGCAAACCAAGGGTGACACGATCTTGGTGGACGATGGCAACCTGAAGCTCCAGGTGGGCCGGCGGCGGCTGCGGCAATGGAGCAACAAGGGTGGTCACAAGGGTGGAGGCCAACGCTGATAACAGAAATTCACCAGACAGTGGCATCGAAAACAAAGCTTTCCCAGCCTTTGAATGGCCCTGCTTTGTCTCACATCACCATTGGTTGCTGCGCGTTTCGTTCACTGCAAACGCGGGCCCAATATAACACGGATTGCAAGCGGAAGGGGCTGTGCGCGACCCTTGCCTCCCCCCCCTGCCCCCTCACCAGGTCGTGGACATCCAGGGCCCCACCAGGGTGGTGGGCAAGGCGCTTTCGGCGCACGCCCTCCAGGAGCTCGCGCTGCTCCACATCCCGGGAGCCCACAAGGTGTGTGTGTGGGGGTCCTGCTATGCCTCCCTTGACTTGATGCAAAAGGCTTCCTGTTGCAAGCAACCGGCTTCTTGTCTGCCGCTCTTGCCTGCAACTAGCCTTATGTGGCTTGCCCTCCCTCCCAGTATTGCTTGCTTCTTGCTCAATGCTCCGCGCTCAACTCACCCCCGCCCCACATCTGCCAAGCTTCCATCCCGCCATTCGCTTTTTATGTAACGCCCCGCCCATGGTCTCCACCCAGGGTGGCGCCCAGTCCCTCCTGCCGCGTGACCTGGAGGACCTCAAGCTGGCGGCGGACTACAGCGCGGACTACGTCAGCGTGCCCTTCGTGCGCAGCGCAGCGGACGTGCAGCAGGTGCGTGCGTGCGCATCGAGAAGCGCGTGCGTGTGCGTGCGTGCGTGTGTTTTTGCGTCATCAGCCAGCGTATGTAGTGTGGCGGGCGAGTGCCGGTGCTGCTGGCTGGGCTGGTGTCAGCAGAAAGCAAATGAGCGTGACCGTGCATGAGTCTGAGCTTTATTGGGGCCTCAAAGTGCGATATGTAGTTCCAGCTCCACTGCACTATTGCGTATATTGTCCTGACTGGTCCACCTTGCGGCCCAAAACCTCAGGTGCGCACAGTGTTGGACGGCTACGGCGCCCCCAGCACCAAAATAATCGCCCAGATCGACTGCACCGACGCGATCCGCAACTTTGACGAGATCATAGGCGTCTCTGACGGCATCATGGTGTCGCGCACCAACCTCGGCATGGACGCGGGCGCCAGCAAGGTGGGGGGTGCTCGCGAGCGTTTCGCAGTAGGCACCCCTGACCATGGCAGGAGTTACTCTGCTCCCAACGCAGAAAGGAGGCCTGGGCAGAAGCGGCGGGCATGCGTGGGCTGCCCACCACGGAGGCTTGGTGCAGGCAGATTGGGCAGATTTACCTGCACACTTGCGCAAACCTCAGCCACACGCTCTCCATCGGTGCTGTCCTCCAGGTGCCCCTGGCCCAGAAGTGGCTCATCCAGAAGGCCAACCTGGCGGGCAAGCCCGCGTTTGTGGCTGGACAGGCGAGGGGGCCTGGGCGGCAAACCGCTTGCTTGCGCGCTTAGAATCGAGGGCGCCCACCTCGAAATGACCATCGCCCAACCGCACGTTTGTGTGCATGCGTTTCTTCGCGATTCTCGGACACTGCATTGCCGTCAACTGCCTCTCTGCTGAGAGCCGCGACGCCCCTCCTCAATCGCCTTTGTCTTTGGCCTCATGGAACCGCCCCGTCCCCACTCCCAAGGTGATGGAGGGCATGGCCACCAACATACGCCCCAGCCGCCCCGAGATCACGGACGTCGTCAACTCGGTCTACGACGGCGCAGACGGCATCGTCCTCATGCAGGTGGGGCTGGGGGCACAAGAGTGAGTAAGGGAGAGTGTTCGTTCGTGCGCACACATGTACAAGCAGGGACTGGGGATGGATAGGATGGGGCAGGGTGGGTGACCAGGCTTCAGGTTGGGGCGATGCGCATGTCCGGCGGGTGCAAAGCGTGCTTTGCAAGTTCGTGCATGGGGTCGGTCCTCTCGGCCCTTTAGGGTCCAGATCCCACCTTTGAATTGGGCATGTGTCCTTTGCGTGTAGTTGAGCAGGCACCCGTGCATCATCGGCCTTATCCAGCACCCCCCCCGCCCCGCCCCGCCTCTTGTGGTGCGCAGGAGACGTCCTGCGGTCGCTTCGCGGACGTGTGCGTGCGTACCACCTCCCAGATCATCTGCGACGCGGAGGCCGGCATGTCCAACTCCGCCAACTACGGCTTCATCAGGCAAGAGCTCCTCGCCAACACACACACGCCTGGCCACCGCTGCCTGAACATTCACGGCGCTCTGCTGTCACAGTCCTTGAGCCCTCCACGCCAAGGTGGACCTCATGCTGTTTTTTTCATGGGCTGCCGCGCACGTGCCTGGCGTGCCTCCTTTCAATCCGCCCCACACCACGCGGGCGCCCTCCTTGGCTCCCAGGAACTTCACGCCCAAGCCGATGTCCCTGCTCGAGGCGCAGGCGTCCAACGCGGCCAAGGCCATCATTGACATGGCGGGCAGCGTCATCGCCGTCATCACTGAGACCACGCAGCCCGTCAGGCTGGTGGCCAAGTACAAGCCGGGTGAGGAAGGCGTGCCAGTGGGAACCGCTTGGGGCATGCTTGCTTTGGGACAGGTTTGACGTCTGCAGGGCAGGGCGTCCAGCCGCATCTGCAGTCGATCAGGTGCGCCGTTGATGCCATGAGCAAGGCGCATCCGATAAGGTTCGTGAGGACTAGCACTTCGCAAGCGGTGACTGTGGAGGTGCTGCTACTGCACAACAGGCCCGCCCTACCACCCCCACCACCCCGCATGTCAACCCAGGCGTCCCCCTGCTGGTGGTGACCAACAAGCCGCGCGTGGCAACCCAGTGCGCGCTGCTGCACGGCGCCGTACCCGTGGTGGTCAGGGCCGACCTGGACACCTCTAGCAACAAGATCATCGAGAGCGTGGGTGCCCGCGCCTCGTCCCTGATTTGACACACGCCAGAATAGGATGCTGGGCGGCTGCGGTGCAGAGAGGCGCTGCACCTGCTCGCGCTCGGATGGGCGTTAGGTTGAGGATTCTGTGCTGGTGATCAGGGGCTTGCTCACTGGCGTTGACCACTGCCAACAGTCAGGCCCACTTGGCACCGCAGGCTGTGGAGATATGCAGGCGGCTGGGGCTCTGCAACTTCACTGCGGGCGACGACAAGAGCGACCAGATGGTGGTGCTGTCGGGTGCGAGGGGCCTAACAGTGCCGGGCGGCGGCGCGCCCGCCATAACCTCCAATGATGATTCCCATGCAAAGCATCCACCCCCTGCTCATGCCTCACTCACAGGCATCCTTGCCGGGTCCACGTCCCCTGATTTGCCTGAGACAAAAAACCCCGTTCGCAATGGCTAACAGCACTGCAAATGCTCAACGGCCCCGACAGGCCCGGTGGACGCGCCCTTCCTGACGCCCGACTCGTTCTACGCGGCCGAGGTCACCTGCGCCGTGTGGGGCGACGAGTCCAAGGCCCTCGTGCCCCCCCAGGGCTACCGCGGGGAGATGACCATCGCCATGCGCTCCACCAAGGTCCGCACGGCAACACGTGTGCTTTTTTGCTGCGCGCGACATTGCCGCCGATGCGCCGCTCCCGTGCCTAACTTGGGGTTCTGCTGGCAGGTCATGCGTAATCAAAGTTGCCGTCAAGCTCATATCTTCACACCTGATTTCATATCCCTGCTGAATTCCTTGCACAATTGCTCGTCAACTCAGGTCAACTTGGACCTCATATCGTCGCCCATCAACACGCCGCGCAAGACCAAGATCGTGTGCACCCTGGGCCCCTCCTGCTGGTCAGAGGAGAACCTGGGGGCGCTCATGGACGCGGGGATGAACGTGGCGCGCTTCAACTTCAGCCACGGGGAGCACGCCGGCCACAAGGAGGTGTGTGTGCTGGCATCCTCAGTGATTTGGGAGTCTCAACATCCTAATTTACCGTCTGTCCTTTCAGAACTCGACGGATTTTGGATCAGGCTGAAGCAACGCCTCACCACTCAACCCTGCCAGCCCCGCCAATTGTAGTGCCGAAAGCCACCGAGCCCCACCCACCTCGTGCACTGAGCAGCATTGCCCCTTCCCCC